TCTAGAGTTCGAACACAGTGAATTACTCTCCCGAGTAAATCATCTTGCTGAAGAGGTTGGCTTCCATGTCCTGAAAATGATAAAGGTTGCTCATGTTGTTCCAAGGTCACCCTTGAGAACGTCTTGGGATTGCACAACTTTGCCTGCTTCTGGCAGTGCTTGTATTCATTGGCTTAACCAGAGGTGCACCGTCCATAGAACCCCCTCAACTCATCACTCGTTCTGCGAGAGAGTGGGGCCGGCGCAACTGGAGCTTCGTTAGCAGTTAACGCTGAACGTAGCTCGAATTTTGCTGTTCCGAAGTCGCAGTCCTCCTGAGATTTCTGTCGACAAGAGGTCTGAAACTATAAGGATCGTTCTCAGGTCGCTTCAGGCCCAGATTCTCGTGTAGACTTTCCGTCTCATCGAACGCAACGGTCCTCTGATCACGACCATATTCCACGCCCGACCCCCACACTTTACTACTTTAGCAGATAAACGATCCACCCCGCGCGGCTCCACCGCCACAAAACGGCCCGGCCCTCTATTTGCCAATTTTGCACTCCGCACCCCCCTCGCCGCATACCTAATTCCATCTCCACAGATATCCACACTCCCCCGCCGCCCATATGGTGCGAACAAATTCGCATTCATCAACAGGACTCATCGTTCCAAAATCTACCAAACGCTTGGCACGGACAGCTCACCTGCACGAAGTCAAAAGCTCGCTCAGTCGAAGGGAGAGCCAGAACTCAAAGCCTGCAGAACGAGAAAATGACGATGAAGATGTGTTCCGTGGTCCTATGAAGACACATCATTCGCGACGCGTGTCAAGCACCCACGACGGCCCCTCTTCCCACTTAACCTCTCACGTCAGACAAAGGACGTGATGTCAGAAGGCACCACTGACGCTGATGCGGGTTGACACAGATGTTGAAGGAGGGTCTGAATGTTCGGAATTTTCTGCGCCCGATCCCTCCCTTTGATACGACGATTTTTTGATGGACCTTCGAGATTCGAGGCTGTGCACTAGGGAAGGAGTACAGTTACATACCTAAATATCGGCATGCCATTACCGCAACTGAGCGCTGATGACGCATACACGACTTCACAGCCCGTATTAAGCCCGTACCGCGTGACTGTTGAATCGTGATCTTGAATATAGCCTTGGTTTCGATATGTACAAAACCAATGTTTCGTAGTCTGTCCCTAGTCGCTATACTGGAAAATTGCGAAGCCCTTCAACTTCTTGAGCGTTTGGCCCGTGCTTGCGGGACAAAAGCAATTGACATGCATGTTTGACCGATCGGCTGCGATCCTATCGGTTGTCGTCTCATGCTTGGTCGCATGAAACTTGCCATAGTAGAGTCAGTTTGGCTGGACCACAAGACTCGGGAATAGTAACGAACACAAGTTGTGAGTGACATATTTACATGATAAGTGAATGATGAGAGCCCTAGTCTAAATATGACCACCGCCTGTTAACCACATCGCAATAACGTTCAGATTTCACATCACCGATACGATGGTACTTCTCGACTTGATGTTGCCAATCATCTGGGATGATCTCATTTTGCTTCTCTTGACCCTTCTCCTCTCGATAATAAAGCTCTTCCAGCGGACCAGTGAGCGATAGTCGTTCTAGTACGATGTGCCGCACAACGTCCCTTGAAACATCAAAAAGGAGCAGGGTCCGAAGTCCAGGGAGGGAGATCTGCCAGTCCGCGAGGCGTTGGGAGCAGTCCCATTGCCCATGCATCATTCGCGTACGACGTTGCTGGCCCGAGGGTGAATACCTTGAGAGTGGCCATTTTTTATACAGACAATGGAGGAGCTGAGGATCTGCACGATGTGTGAAATTGACGAGATGGAGTTCATCTAGCTCCAGAGGAGAGTTGGAAGGATCTTCCTTGGTAAGCCTGATCAACTCGTGAAGGATGTCTTCGAAATCAGCCTCCATCAGCTCGAAATCGTAGTTAACGCCATCCAATGTCAATATCCGGAGATTGGGCATATGGACATTGTGGAGAAATTTGGCAGTCCAACAATTCATCGTCCACGATTTGATAGCCAGGTAGTGCAAGTGGGGCAACTCAATGGGAGACATGATGTCTGCGGCAAGCGGATCCATATCCACTTCGAGTGCGAGAGTCTGCAGATTGACGAGTGCACCAAGGAGTTGTGATAAAACTTTTGCCGTAGTGCTTGTATCTCTGTCATCCTCATGCACTGGGATGCAGTAGTGTATCCGCAAGTTGACAATATGTGACGAAAATACGGTGGGTGAAAGCCAGGACCAACTCATGCCAAAAAGGGTAAGATCGCTGATGGGAGACGCAGAACCAGGAAAAATCAATGGTCCATAATGGACGGGGTCTTCATCGAATTGGCCATGTACGAGTTGAAGATGCAGTTTTTCTAGCATACGGGCTGGATGAACGCAAGGGCGTGAGATGAGTAAGAGTGCTTGATGTATGTGGGTCTGTGAGGTCGTCCTCAGCGTAAACTCGCGCCAACGGTGCACCTGAGCATGTAACTCAATGATGATCAAGACGAGGTAAGCACCAGCCACGGTTTCGTCGACCGATACGGGGGATCAGAGGCATATGAAGGGGAGAGTAGCTGTGGGACTCCATTGAAGGGGTTTGCGTGGGTCGTTCCAAAGTAACGTGATTCTGAGAGGATGTGTTCCGCTACGTCGCAGGAATGTACGCGTGTATTCAAGAGACGCAGGACCGTCGCCGAAGGAAATTTGTAACACAGTCCACAATGTTGGAGTCTGTGATATGAGACAATTCCATCGCTCGCACACATCCATTGCTGAAATGAGTGCCGATGGCGGAGGGTCGTTGAATTCCTTCTGCGTACACGTCCTGATAATGATAATAATCTTTTTGCCAGTCGTCCCAATGTCTGCCTCTCCGTTCATTCTGCATAGAATAATCATGGAAAGCTGCTTGGTCTTCTTCACTGACCAACTTGAAAATGACGCGGAGCACGTCGTCCGGCAGCCAGTCGATATAACAGCTATTCATCCCGGTTGATGATTTGTGGGAGAAATGGGAAGAAGTGAACTAGTCCAAGTCAATACTAGGAATGGATAGTCTCGGAAGAGACGCACTTCTTAAGGCCAACTGCTGCACTAACACAGGCCCTCGATTGTGGACTTGTCGCTTCAGAGTGTCGGTTCGCTACAGAAACTAGATGCACGTAAGCATATATTACGAGTACGACACTTGCCTAGAAGAAATCCAAGGATGATCGATCTGATCCCCCACTGAACCATAATGCACGCTGTTCCTGATCAGAAGTGCCACATAGGGCTCCATGGGCCCCATGGGGAACAAAAGGCTGTCATTGTCAAAAACTATCCTAGAGAATAGAGTCGGGATCAAGTGCAGAGTTTGGACAGCCAGGATTACCAGCTGCCTTGGCTAGGAGATCTAGACAGCAACCACATCTTGGGTCCCTTGCAAGCGAAAGGTTATAAATTTGGCCGGTCTCGGGCCGCAGCCTGGACACAACGGCACCAAGTTTGGAACTCCGGCCCGCTCGATGTGTTTGTACCTTACTGCGCTCAACTTGAAGGAAGCCAGTATCACTCGTCGACGTCGATCACCCCACATATTTCTATGATATGAAGGTCACAAATGACTATTTTCATCATGAGATGTTACTACCCCGTCCATTTGCATTTTCAACGGACATCAATTATTTTGCAGCTTCGAGCGTGCCTTGAGATTCGAAGGATGATTATTCATTCAACGGAAGAAGCAAGGAAACCTACACCACACGTTCAATCCCGACTACTAACGAAGCGAACTAGATTCTTGGTTCTAGCCTCCCCCTCGATGTGAGATATAGGTTTATGGTAGAACACTAAACTCATGATATGCAACAATTGCCTGCAACGATTACCCCAAGAGCCAAAGGAAAACAACTTGAACGTTCGCTGGGACTCCACCTAGGGTTCTTCGATCAACCGCCACATCCTTCTAGCACTGCAAAGGGTCGCCCTGTAAGACGTTCCAGACTCGGATTCAAGTATATGCTAAAAATTGATTTGTTAGATACGACTTGGACCTGGACCTTCATCAGGCTCTGTTCACCAGCAGGCCTCCACAAGATTCAAGAACCACCGATCGGGAACGGCGCATGCTACCTCTTCCAAAATTATAGAAACGGATTCGTCATCCAAGTCGAAGTCCAATGTAAGGGAAGCTCAGCAGACGTCCTCAAGATCTGCCAGTCGGGAATTGGCGTATTCTACCTCTTGGCAACTTTTGGACCCGCATTCGTCACCCTCAATCCCACAGGGCGGTGTCGACTCCATACATTGTCGAGGTTTAGCGACCGGACAAGCTCACAGGGCACGTTCAGCGTATTCGTTCTCAATGACGTGTCTCAGGAAATTCCCAGAGGACTGTAGTTTCACGTTCATGTCGGACAACAACTTCTAATGGTACCAGGTCAAATCCCCATTCACAGTCGGCGTCGACTCAGGAAGGCTCGCCTCAGGCATCTAGTGACATTAGGTATAATCACCAAGGAGCCACAGCTCGGAATAACTCAGCAGTCTTCTGGGCAAGTCGGACGACTAGGACATACACAAAGCCACGTCGATAGAAAGGACCGAGAGCATTGATTCAGGGATGTCTATACGGAGCGTAATACCTAAAGCGTCAAAGCGCATGGATTATTTGCTGGAATTGGTTGTGCTGTGAGTTTTCTTCACATCTGGAGTGCTAGACATAGTCAATTCATGCATTGCATCAGCATTCTGATATGCTCGTCTCCTGCTTGATTATGTTCTATGTATGACATGTTCTATGTTAATATGTAAACCTGTTTTCCTGTGGCTCGTCGTATCAATGCCACATTCTTGTACGGTTTGCAAGGAATTGACATGGTAATTGTTGTGATGAAGCTGGCCGATGATCGCGACGATTAACGAATTACGATAGAAAGCTGGGAACACTCCCCAGGGTCATTGACTCCAAAGGACGATAGATGTAATTTTTTAAACAAAAACCAGGCGCTGCGCTTGCTGGTGAGGCCGGGAACATCCTAATGTTGGTTCACCGTTTTTCATGTATTAGGGTGTTAGCATCTTCCCATGGATCAGTCTTCCCAGTCAGACCATTAAATGGAAGGACAGTTCTTAATATTGAATGGATCAGGCAAATTACCCTCGTGTCTCGTCCTTCCAAGGCATCCACACAAACGACCGAATTCCTTTTGCAACAGCTTGAGACAAGACTTCACTATCTACCCGCCATGCGCATGACGGCAATAGACAGTTTAACACACGTGCGATTTCGTAAACATGCTCTGTAATGATGACAACTTGGTAGTAGACTTGAAGTAATACCCAGTTTATCCTTTGCCTCGATGCCAACTACGACGCATTGAAGAATTTGTCAGTTTCCGTTCGTCTAGGGAAACAAGAACGCCAGTTTTCAAGACCGGTGATTGACACTGCACAGGCCGGCCTTAGAATAGTATGGTCTGTGGGCCACAATCTTCGTCAAGGGGAATGCACCAGAATCGATCGTACTCCCCATTTCCGGCAGCACGGTCAGATACAGGCGATATCAGGGGTCTAACGCAACAGTCTGGTCAATGGCGTGTCGATGGACAGCGATGAAATGACGCCACCATGAAAACACCGATGAGTATCTCACCCAGTGCAGTAACTATAGCCCTATCAATACATAAGAAGCCGAGAGTGCGAACGATAGTCACGTCACCCGGTAAGAGTGGTAACTCTATGCAGCTTGAGTTTCAGTAGTTGCATAGTAGAGCGCGTCTTGGAAGAAAGTCAGAGTTTGCCAGGACGTCAGCGAACAGCAAGGTATGCACCAGCCAGCACCAGACGACCTTCAGCATCCGTATTATATCTCGACGGATTTGCGTAGATTCTGATAGATAGTCGGTCTACAAGATAAGAAATGTTGCAGATATCGCCTGGCTTGGTAGCTTTGGGACCGTGCAAGATCACACGAAGCAGAGTGACGGCGACAAACATTGATGCTGCAATCAGGATGAGAGTAACCGCAGAACGCAGGGCAGCGATAGCGTATGCAAGTTGGAGTTGTGCGATGGCGAGTAGAGATGAACGACTGCAGCTGCCTACATGATCGTTACATATAGTGAGCGAAACACCTTCAACTTGTTGAAAAGTGATGGTCTTGGCTGATTATAGAAAGGAAGTAGATGTTGGCACACCCGTCAAATGTCGATGGAGGTCATGATTGTCGATGGAACGCGTGAAGTCGTGTAGCGCCAAGTGAGCGCTTGAGCAACCACAGGTGACAGCTTGGGGCGGTAGGATACTAAGGGCCTCAAAACCGTCCAAAGTTCATATCAGAACTTGCCTGATGACATCAGCTAGGCTGAAATTTCAAAGCGGTGACTAATTACTTTCCTTTCCAGGCTAGCACTACATAGTGGCACTACTAGGACCTATAGGCTGGCTGCTGCAGGCTGCAGCGCTGCACCGTGGTAGGTCGCAGAATTCTACATCATTTACTTGCAGCGGAACCGCCTCCTAAATATCAGCACCAAATATTGTCTCATCCCATGCACTAGTCTCGTCGTGTGCTTGAAGTTTAAACAGCTGAAACGATCATCGATACATTAAATACAGTTGTCTATCCCTAACGTATAACGTCGGGACCCACCTCACACCTATACATTATCAAAGTTATACAGAAGGACCGATGTCACACATTGTGACTAAATGCGACGAACACATGTGACACCGCTCAACAGTCTCGTCGAAAATCTAAGGTGCTAGAGTACATATCTACTTAAAAAACGAATCTAACGTCGTCTGCCTCGCATGGAGTAGCTCCTCGCGTTGTAATTGGGCACGGAAACGACGGATTTGCTTTAACAAATCAAGTGTGTGCGTTGAGTCCTGAGAATGTCCATGCTGATTCCTGAAGGTATGCTCCTTCGAGCCGCTGACATAGCGCTAGTGCTTCTACACGGGGAAACGTCTGGGGCCGCATCATGATCTTCTTCCGAGTCGTCATCAGAATCAGCTTCAATCACCTCACCCTGTTTCTCAGCGATCTTTCGACTGACTGCAACAACAATGGCCATGTCCCCACCATTCAAGTCGAACCCAAGGGAATCCCCCGATTTGTTTTTCCTCAGCCGGCTCGAGCAGCTCGTCTAAGGATAGTGTGGACAATAGCTGGCACTGACAATGGTCCCCACCACCAAAAGTGCCGTCTGATAATGCATATAGGCATGCGAGGTCAATACATTATACAACATACATTATGCAACGATTTTCTCACTGTCCCACAGTGGGACCATTGAAAACTCGATACAGTATTGAAAATATACACTAAGGGCGTATACATTATGGCATAGTCAACTGTATCACCAAGGCTCGCTGGGGCCCCGCCGCCCCGGGCCAACTTGAACCTTGACGACGCCAGACCTAACTTGAAGGAACTGCTGTATAATTCGGCTCTGGAGAAGACCGAGTTCGCTCGACTTTGCGTCTCTTGATCCTTCATTGCAGTGATGCATACACAATAACCTGCCGCTATGAACTGACGGGAATTGCGTAGCTAAATGATTAGCGCTTGAAGTCAACGTGCTGGCCATGCTTCGAACGTTCTTCGGAGTTCTGCCAAAGGATGAGACGCCCATTCTCTTCTCACACTACTTCTCAAGGCTGTATACCCCACCGTTTCTCTCACACCGATCCAAATCTACGACCAGGTCACCAATCACGATGAGTGAATATAGGTCAGATCCTCCTCCTGAAAGCTCGGTATGTGATTTCTTGAAATCCATCGCTGCCCTTATGCATTCTTTGTCCAGAATCAACCTCGTGGAGGAGTCCGTCAGTCCCTGCGGAAAATGAAGGATGGGTTGACCAAAAAACTTCCTGTGCGTAGACGTGAATACTGATTGTCCTGAATACAACTGAGATCGTGCAGAAACGCTTCAAGCGAACACGCAACCACACCACTGCGGCCCAGGATGTCGAAATTGAAGGGGCTTCATCGAGTCAGAAAATCGAGGTAAGTGCTCGAACTCGCTATCCTAGTTCTTCTGTTTTCTTAGAAGCACCCAGGACACGCTGCATTTCCATCCTTCCAACGATAACAAGCATTCCACCACATCTAAGATTCTTAGCGACTCCGAGAACCAAGGGCTGTCCGGAGAGCCTGCTTCGCAGGTATTTTCGTCAAATACTTTAACTTTCCTCTTTAATTTCGGCTGTTCCACAGGTTCAGGCTACTGCCTCTGGCAAGGAGGAAGGCCCTAATCCCCAATTAGTTGATGCTGAACTTCAGGGTGCCCGTGATGGTGCACAAAGCATGGGATTACTCGGGAGACATGCGACTTCTATGGCATCCGCCGTCAGTAATGCCCCAGCGGATCTCGCTGCCGCGGATGATTTTGAGGCAACGTATCTCGAACCCCTAAAGGTTATCGACGCTGTCCTTGAGAAGATCGCGGATGTATGGGCCATTCTTGTTGATTGGAAGCGAACTAATCAAGTTGCATAGGTACATCCGTACGCAAAGATGGCGCTGGGTGTGCTGTCTGCTGCTTCCAAAGTATGTTCAGTTCCTCCCGGAGTCCAGTCTCCTGCTCAGAATTCATAATTCTATGTAGATTATAATTGCTCAAGCAGAGCGCGACAAATCGATCCATAGTCTCCTCGAGAAATTGGCTGAAGTTTACCGCTTTATGACTCAAGAGGACAGCCTTGGCAAAATTGAATCGATGCGCGGTATCGTTGGAAAGGTCGCTCAGCAGACTATCGAGTGTGCCCGTTTTATCAGGGAATACTCGGAGACGGAGAGCTTCTGTGAGTCGTCGATTGCATTTCGCACATGAATATTATATTCACTATGATCTTAGGGAAGAGAGTCGGTAAAAAACATTGCCGCGGAAACGGATGATATCATCACACAGTACAACAACGCCTTGGACGGGCTTATGCAACAATTTCGGGATCAAACTGATCGGGACGTAGCTATCTTTGTCCACTCTGCGGGTAAGGATTCAGACGTGCCTCTGATTTTAGATGTACTCATATCTTTCAAGGTGAAAAACTCGATCTCAGCGGTATGGTTTACGCAGGGGGCGCGGGCCTAGATACTGCAAAGCAATGTCTGTCAGGCACTCGCACGGACATTCTCTCTCAAATCATCGAGTGGATCAACAGCAGTGGAGATTCTGTCCCGCGTGTAATGTGGCTATCCGGCCCTGCGGGCAAGGGCAAATCAGCCATCGCCCACACGATTGCTAACTGGTTCAACGAAACGGGAGGACTTGGTTCATGTTTTTGTTTCGATCGGCGCAGAGAAGCAGACCGTCGCCATGAAAAGATTTTTTCCACCATCGCGCGCGATCTTGCTGATCGTGATCCGGGGATGAAACGAGCCTTAGCGGATGCACAAGGATGCAAACTCGCTCAAGAATACGACGGACATTACCCAGCAGTGGCGCAAGCTTCTCATGGAACCGTTGAGGAAATTCTCTAGGTCAAGTGTGGGACCTGTCTTGATCGTGATTGAAGCACTGGACGAGAGCGGTGGAGTGGAGACGCGACGGGACATTCTCCGCATACTTTCCTGTAAACTTCAGAACAAAGGTCTTCCCCAAATCACAGAACTCCCATCTAACTTTCGGATTCTCGTTACCTCTCGTCCACTTCGTGACATCGAAGTTGCATTTCACGGTGCTCAGCATATTCTACGGTTATCAATGGACGAAATTCCAGCAGGAGTGGCGGAGCGCGACATCTGCGCTTTTGTATCTGACAAGCTAGAAGGACTGTTACGTTTCGGGGACAAAGAGTTTGCAAACCTCGCTGTGAAAGCCGATGGACTTTTCGAGTGGGCACGTCTGGCATGCGAATACATTAAGGAAGACCTTCCCGGCATAAACCCAAGGTCTCGCTTCGAGACTGTCGTGAATCGCGATCCTGGGAAATGGACAAATAAGTTGTATGATATGTATCGGCTTATTTTGGTAGAAATCTGGCCACGAGATCGGTATGGTGATGTCGAGTACCAGGAAGCACTAGCGGGGTTTCGTTATGTGATGGGACAAATACTCAGCACCGCTGAACCGCTCCCGCTTGATTCCCTCAATGCCATGCGGGACTGTTTTCCCAAACCACAACAAACATTACAAAGTGGACATCGTACAACATATGGGATCCCTCCTCAGTGGCACGATGGATTCGTGCATCCCCGTCAGGCCCCTTCACGCATCCTTCCAAGAGTTCCTCACAGACAAATTATCCAGCGAAGACTTTTTCGTTGAGGTTACAAATGTGCAACACTGCGACCTAGCGTTTGCATCACTTGGAGTGATGGAACAAGGCCTTCGTTTCAATATATGCAATTTAGAGTCATCATACCTCCCTAATCACGAAGATACCGGACTGCCTCAACGAGTCAAAACGTCCATTCCCCCACATCTTTCCTATTCCTGCCGATTTTGGGCTACGCATGTTCAAACAACGGACTTCGACGATGAGCTCGCAAAGGCGATCAGATCATTCTTGAATGACGAGCGACTGCTGTTCTGGATTGAAGCACTTGGACTTCTCAATGGAATCAGCGGTGCAGTTGCTGTGCTTCCATTCGTTGCCAGGTGACTGAAGGTGAGCACATGCCTACGAGGCAGTGTTGGATGAACAGCTCACAAACGAATACAGGGCCATTCTGGATACGAAGATTTGCGGTCGACCACGATGGATGTACAAAGATTCATTCAAGTGTTTGGCGGCATGATTTTGCACAGCACGCCGCATCTATATTTATCAGCGCTCCCATTCTCTCCCGTCAACTCCACCATGGCTACCAAATTTACTGCAAGGTTTCCGCATAACCTTCGTCTGGCATCTGGCTGTGATTTGAACTGGGCGGTTGTTCAGACCATAATTAATACCCACACTAATATGGTACTCTCGGTCTCATTCTCACCGGATGGTACTCGCATCGCGTCTGGTTCTTCGGATAATACTGTGCGACTATGGGATGCAGCGACGGGACAGCCATTGGGTGAGCCCTTGCAGGAGCACACTGACGGGGTCACCTCAGTCTCGTTCTCACCCGACGGTACTCGCATCGTATCTGGGTCCTGGGATAAGACTGCGGCTATGGGATGCAGGGAATGGACAGCCATTGGGTGAGCCCTTGCAGGGGCACACTGAAGGGATTAACTCAGTCTTGTTCTCACCGGATGGTGCTCGCATCGCGTCTGGTTCTTCAGATAAGACTGTGCGGCTCTGGGATGCGGCGATGGGTGAGCCATTGGGCGAGCCATTGCAGGGGCATGCTGGAGTGGTTTTTTTCAGTCTCGTTCTCACCGGATGGTACTCGCATCGCGTCTGGTTCTTGGGATAAGACTGTGCGACTGTGGAATGCAGGAACGGGACAGCCATTGAGTGAGCCCTTGCAGGGGCATGCTGATGGGGTTTGGTCAGTCTCGTTCTCACCAGATGGTACTTGCATTGCGTCTGGTTCAGAGGATAAGATGGTGCGGCTGTGGAATGCAGGGACGGGACAGCCATTGGGGGAGCCCTTGCAAGGGCACACTGAAGGGATTTTCTCAGTCTTGTTCTCACTGGATGGTACTCGCATCGCATCTGGTGCTTTCGATAAGACTGTGTGGCTGTGGGATGCGGCGACGGGACAGCCATTTGGTGAACTTTTACAGCGGCACAGTGGGAGGGTCAGCTCAGTCTCGTTTTCACCGGATGGTATCCGCATCGCGTCTGGTTCAGAGGATAAGACCGTGTGGCTTTGGGATGCGGGGACGGGACAGTCATTGGGTGAGCCCTTGCAGGGGCATACTGAAGGGGTTTGGTCGGTCTCGTTTTCACTGGATGGTATTCGCATCGCGTCTGGTTCAGAGGATAAGACCGTGCAGCTTTGGGATGCGGGGACGGGACAGCCATTGGGTGAGCCCTTGCAAGGGCACACTGAAGACGTTTGGTCGGTCTCGTTTTCACCGGATGGTACCCGCATCGCGTCTGGTTCTTGGGATAACACTGTGCGGCTGTGGGATGCAGTGACGGGACAGCTATTGGGTGAGCCCTTACAGGGGCACACTAAAGCGGTTTACTCAATCTCGTTCTCACCGGATGGTACTCGCATCGCATCTGGTTCTTTGGATAAGACTGTGCGGCTGTGGGATGCAAGTGACGGGACAGCCATTGGGTGAGCCCTTGGAGGGGCACGGTGGAGTGGTTTTGTCAGTCTCGTTCTCACCGGATGGTACTCGCATCGCGTCTGGTTCTTCAGATAAGACTGTGCGGCTCTGGGATGCAGCGATGGGACAGCCATTGGGTGAGCCATTGCAGGGGCATGCTGGAGCGGTTTTGTCAGTCTCGTTCTCACCGGATGGTACTCGCATTGTGTCTGGTTCTTCAGATAAGACTGCGGCTGTGGAATGCAGGGACGGGACAGCCATTGGGTGAGCCCTTGCAAGGGCACACTGAAGAGGTTGACTCAGTCTTGTTCTCACAGGATGGTACTCGCATCGCGTCTAGTTCTTCGGATATGACTGTGCGGCTGTGGAGTGCAGTGAAAGTTCAACCATCCCCCGAATCCAGAGAGCCGGATTCCTCCACATTTTCGCTGCATCGAAGCACCATACCTCCCACCCAAGAAAGCCGTATCATGCCCATTAACACTTGTAACAATCACCTCATTTGCTTCTCGTCTAACCTGGAATACGCCCTTCCCAACCCCGCTGAATTGTTCGAGCCCACCTCTCATAATTCTAATTCAACCCCCTTTCTTGCTGCAAAACCGATGGATGGATGATGGGGTCCAATTGTCAGCTCCTTTTCTGGGTACCTCCAACTTCCCGATACCCATTTTATTCTCCTGGTACTGCAATGGTAATCCCGAGAGGTACTGAGCTTGATTTGAGCCTCATGGGACATGGGACACGCTGGTCGAGTTGCCGAGATGCGTGAGTTCTTAGTCTTCATCATGTCTCCTCGCAGTTGCTAACATCAATCCTACTAGCTCCATGTAACGATGATTTTATTGCTGCAATATCGAGCGTACTGTTTGATTTTTTGATCCCTTGTCAATTTTATACCTAGCACCGAGCCTATTTACAGTTGTTCGACTGAATGATGTGCTGAAAAGTAGACTGGGTAAGACTCAAATGTTGCTGTTGATTTCTGAGAGCATGTACTTTGCACTCTTAAAGATTCATGCAGATGTTGAGTAGGTCTAACAGGTGCTTCGAAATTCCTGTTGAGACACTTCAGTCACCCCTGTTAAGTACCTCTTAGGTACATATATTCTGGCTTACAATCTCACCTAAGAGGCATGATCTTAGGCGGTATTCCCAGCCATGCAGGTTATATCCCGGGCCAATTCAACACTTTCCCCACGAAGCCTGGGCCTGCTGGGCCAAATGTATTTGATCTTTCCCATGACCCTCTGGGTCATCCTAGATACTTTATTATATGAATACACAGGGGGTGTCAGGGTCATTTCCATGAAAAATTACCCACACATTTAGACACTTAGAGTATAATGTTTGTCTTCAATAAGGTCCTTGACCTACGAATGGAGGAAGTGAAAAGAAATATGTGGCGAGGGGGGGGGGGGGCGGCTTGTCTTTGAAGATTGGAGAAGTAAGTGGGGTAAGGTTCTTGACCTACAAAATCCACAGCAGCTGGAGGAGGCAGGAAGAAATTTGTGGTAGACA